GGACATAGTCTCTTTTAAAGAAGAATCAATCATTTTACAATGGGTATCATTGCATTTGAAGTTCTTTTTACTTTTAAATTCTCTACCTATGTGATGCATTCCAAGATGGCTGTATGTACAAGCACAGATGGTGGCAAGAGCATCAAACTGGCACGACAGCGTGTTCTGGCCAGCCTATCACCTGTCGCACTGACAACTGTCCCCTCCTTTGTTGTTGGCCGCAAACATCTCACTGCACCCTTCCTCTCTGCTGGTCACATCCCCCCCATCTCCCTTACTACTGGCTGCATTATTCCCTCCACATTACTAGCTGCATTCTTCCCCTTCACTGCCAGCTATACTGCTCACCTCCTCCCCATTGCTAGCCACATCAAACACTCCAATGGCTGCTCCAGGGTCGTTCTAAGTGCAGCAGTGGCTATGCCACCTAGTCATGGCATTGACAATAAACACAGCAGTAACATGGCTTTTCACAGGAGAGTGTTTTGGTCATATGATAGTTGACGATTGTCACACAATGGCATAGTGAATGTATTGAAGGACTTTTTGTCCTCCATTGTCAAAGCTATCAAGATGCTATTGAAATAGTAGGGATTCATTAACACTTTTTTGCATAATGATTTTTGACAGATTTCGCAGACAAGCTGACTATTATTTACAGTCTTCAGGCTTTTTTCCTCGAAAATTGTTCAAACAAAAGCAAGTGTGAAATTCTGCAGGGGAACTGTCCAGACATAGCTACTGTTAATCTATGTCAGAAGATTTTAAAAAATTAGCCTCACCTGTAGGTCAGCTGACCTCTGCTGCCTCTTTAAGGACAGTGTCCAGATCCTTCAAACAAAAGTGTCAGTTATTAAATTGTTTGATGAAATTAAAGATTAATATTCTATATATTACAACGTCATGATAAACTGCAAGAAATGCAACAAATTTAAATGTCAAACAAAATAAAACTACATAGAGTGATATAAAGCAATTACACATTTCATAGAATCATTTATCTTCATATTGTGCCAGTTCCCATGTGTACACACGGAAAGTGTCAGTTTGTGTGTCTTTGCTGCCAATCATGTATATCCACGTTTCTATATGCGCTTTCACATTGAAACTAAGATGATTAGACAATTGACTGCAGCATGTGCACTGACTCTTCTCTGCTTATACTCACTGAAGGAATATACAATCAGAAAATACTTTATCAGATATCAAATTTTGTCAATATGTTTATTATTTAAGGAATAAAGCATCTTCAAAAGATTTGGGTTACAGTTACACAAGTTTTAAAACTAACAATGCAGCTTAAAAGGCAGTAAAGAAAACAAATTGAGCTCTGGATTCATTACTGGTTCTAACACTTGGTTTTAGCTGCTTATTTCTGAGCTGGGGATTCTAAGTAATTCTGTATTAAACAAACTAAACTAGTTGTACAATATTGTAAAATATTTCCAGATATTTATATACAGGATATTTAAATATATGTCTACATGCATGTTTATTACATTGTCAACTGTTAATTGTTTAATAAAAGTAAGATCTCTATGTGCAAGATGCAGTAAAATTACAAACATATTCTTTGTGTAGAGGTCAAAATTTTAGTAGTTAGTAACTGAAGAATTTTTCCCCCACTGTTCAATTTAAGGTGCAACTAAACCGCAAGTTCATCAACAATGCAAAACAATTTTGGTTTTGCGCCAACACTAAGTGAGTACTGCAAATTTGATTCAAAAATTAGAACGTATGCAGTGCACAGCTGTCTGATTATAATGGCATACCTAATTTTCCAATATGTCCTCCTGCCTGGCTAAAACTGGCTCCAAGTGAAATGAGTTGAAACTTAATGGAGGACATGGTTATACTCTGTTCAATGAGAGTAAATCCATTTCGGTATCGAACCTGGCTTAATTAAGTTCTTAAACTAGTGAATTTGGATTCTTCTTCTCTGCTTACTAATGTACCAACCACATGTGCAGCTGTCTTCTGGGCAAGATTGCTCCAATTGCAGGTAACAAGGTGTAGAACTGGATGAACACAGCAGGCCAAGCAGCATCAGAGGAGCAGGAAGGCTGGCATTTCGGGCCTAGACCCTTCATCAGAAATGGGGGAGGGGAAGGGGGTTCTGAAATAAATAGGGAGAGAGGGGGAGGCGGATAGAAGATGGATAGAGGAGAAGATAGGTGGAGAGGAAACAGACAGGTCAAAGAGGTGGGGATGGAGACAGTAAAGGTGAGTGTAGGTGGGGAGGTAGGGAGGAGATAGGTCAGTCCAGGGAGGACGGACAGGTCAAGGGGGCGGGATGAGGCTAGTCGGTAGGAGATGGGGGTGCAGCTTGAGGTGGGAGGAGGGGATAGGTGGAAGGAAGAACAGGTTAGGGAGGCAGGGACGAGCTGGGCTGGTTTTGGGACACGGTAGGGGGAGGGGCGATTTTGAAGCTTGTGAAATCCACATTGATACCATTGGGCTGCAGAGTTCCCAAGCGGAATATGAGTTGCTGTTCCTGCAACCTTCGGGTGGCATCGTTATGGCACTGCAGGAGGCCCAGGATGGACATGTCGTCTGAGGAATGGGAGGGGGAGTTGAAATGGTTCGCGACTGGGAGGTGCAGTTGTTTATTGCGAACCGAGTGTAGGTGTTCTGCAAAGCGGTCCCCAAGCCTCCGCTTGGTTTCCCCGATGTAGAGGAGGCCACAAAGGGTACAGCGGATGCAGTATACCACATTGGCAGATGTGCAGGTGAACGTCTGCTTGATGGGGAAGGTCTTCTTGGGGCCGGGGATGGGGGGGAGGGGGGAGGTGTAGGGGCAGGTGTAGCACTTCCTGCGGTTGCAGGGAAAAGTGCTTCGTGTGGTGGGGCTGGCAGGGAGTGTGGAGCGGACAAGGGAGTCACGGAGAGAGTGGTCCCTCCGGAAAGCAGATAAGGGTGGGGAGGGAAAAATGTCTGGTGGTGGGGTCGGATTGCAGATGGCAGAAGTGTCGGAGGATGATGCGTTGGATCAGGAGGTTGGTGGGGTGGTACGTGAGGACGAGGGGGATGTTTTTTTGGTTGTTATTGCAGGGACGGGGTGTGAGGGATGAGTTGCGGGAAATGCGGGAGACACGGTGGAGACATGGTTCTCGACCACTGAGAGGGGGAAGTTGCGGTCCGTGAAAAACGAGGATATCTGAGATGTACGGGAGTGGAATGCCTCATCCTGGGAGCAGATGTGGCAGAGGCGAAGGAATTGGGAATAGGGGATGGCATTTTTGCAGGAAGGTGGGTGGGAGGAGGTGTATTCTAGGTAGCTGTGGGAGTCAGTGGGCTTGAAATGGGTATCGGTTTCTAGGTGGTTGCCCGAGATTGAGACAGAGAGGTCCAGGAAGGTGAGAGATGTATTAGAGATGGTCCAGGTGAACTTAAGGTTGAGGTGGAAGGTGTTGGTGAAGTGAATGAACTTTCGAGCTCCTCGTGGGAGCACGAGGCGGCGCCAATACAGTCATCAATGTAACGGAGGAAGAGGTGGGGTTTAGGGCCAGTGTAGGTATGGAAGAGGGATTGTTCCACGTAACCTACAAAGAGGCAGGCATAGCTTGGACCCATGCGGGTACCCATGGCCACCCCCTTTGTCTGTAGGAAGTGGGAGGAATTGAAAGAGAAGTTGTTGAGGGTGAGGACGGCTAAGCGGATGCGGGTGTCAGTGAAGGGGGACTGGTCGGGCCTGCGGGACAGGAAGAAGCGGAGGACCTTTAGGCCATCTGTATGGCGAATGCAGGTGTATAGGGACTGGACGTCCATGGTAAAGATGAGGTGTTGGGGACCAGGGAATTGGAAGTTCTGGAGGAGGTGGAGGGCATGGGTGGTGTCACGGATGTAGGTAGGGAGTTCCTGGATCAAGGGGGAGAAAATGGAGTCCAGATAGTCGAAGATAAGTTTGGTGGGGCAGGAGCAGGTGGAGACAATGGGTCGACCAGGGCATTTAAGTTTGTGGATTTTGGGAAGGAGATAGAAGCGGGCAGTGCAGGGTTGGGGAACGATGAGGTTGGAGGCCGTCCAATTGTAGGTAGACAGGAAGTAAACAGTGTAAACATATTACTGTCTGACTGGCCCCTAACTCGCAGTGGGTAGTCTCCAATCAGTAGCAGTTTACATGCACATTATTTACAGCAAAAAATTCCGGTGTAAGGGAAGGGTACATAGGTTGGCCAATGATATTTCCATGGAAGATTATCAGGAAATTTAATTGAATGCAATTAAGTTGAACTTTTCAGTCAGAAAGCTACAACCTGTCTTAGAATTTCCGATTACGCTTGCAAAGATAACCTTTCATTACAAGCTGTATTGTCTGTCTAGTACAAAAGCGCTCGCCTGAATGAGTTAAAAAATCAATTGTCTTTATCATTATTAATGGGAAAGTAACATTTTTCTCTAAAAATGTTAGCTTTAAATAACTGTAGAACTCAATCAGACTATATTTATAAGCAACACATAATATATCGATATGACTAGAGCTATCACCTTAAAAAAAATAGAAAGCCAGAAGACCAGATACTTCTGAGCTGAGAAGCAAGAAGCTTGAAAAAGCTGAGAATCCAGCTTATTCACCTTCTATAGTGAGACTTTGCAAGTTATTGAAGCAAACTTGACAATACCTATCGTTGCCAGATAGGTTTGTGTAATATCGTTATTATTTTGACATTTGGATTCTAAAGTAAAGCAAATTGACAGTGGCCTGATTGATTGTCAGCACATCTGTGAACATTCATTCCCTCCACCACCGATGCTCAGTAGTAGCAGTGTCTATCATTTACAAGATGCGATACAGCAACACACTAAGGTTCTTTCGATAGCATCTACCAAACCTATGAACACTACCATCTAGAAGGACAAGAGCAGCAGATACATGGGGACAGCACTACCTGCAAGTGCCCCTTTAAGCATCTCACCTTCCTGACTTGGAAATGTAACGTTTTGGGTCTGGTAACCCTTCTTCAGAATATTGACCCGAAACGTTAACTCTGATTTTTCTTCACAGATGCTGCCAGATCTGCTGAGCTTTTCCAGCAACTTCTGTCTTTGTTCATGGAAAAGGACTGTTTGGACTTATGCCTTACAGATGATGGACAGGCTTTGGAGAGTCAGGAGGTGAGTTACTCACTGCAGTATTCCTCACATCTGACCTGCTGTTGTAGCCATTGTGATTAGGTGGTGAGTCCAGTCGAGTTTCTAGTCAATGGTAATCCCCCAGGATGTTGATAGTGGGGGATTCAGTGATGGTAAAGTAACACTTGTAAACTCATCAGTTGAGTAATAAATTAAAGAGTGATATTTGATTGGGATTTAGTAATTATAAGGATATTTGTGTGTAAAGAGTTGCATCTTTGTTTTATTCTCTTGATAAGACCATAAGGCACAGGAGCAAAATTAGGTCTTCCAGCACATTCAGTCTGCTCCACCATTCACTTAGATTGTGGCTTATCTGATAATCCTCCACTCTGCTTTCCTGCCTTTTCCCCATAACCCTTGATTCCCTTACTGATTAAAAATCTGTCTAGCTTAGTCTTGAATATACTTAATGGCCCAATCTGTATAGATCTCTGTGGTAAAGAATTCCATAAATTCATTATCCTCAGAGGGAAGAAATCCCTTCTCATCACTTTCTTAAGTGGGTGACCATTTATTCTCAGATTTTACCCTCTCAATTAGGGGAAATAACCCTTCTGCATCTTGCCTATGCAATGTCCTCAGAATCTCATATGAGCAAATAAGGAAGAAAAATAGAGATATACGATGCATACTGGAATAATAATAACAATAGAAATCAGGAAGAATATCTCAGTGCAGGAGAGAGGCTAAGGCTAGAGTAAGGAAGGCTAAGAAGAAGTATGAGGAAAAGATGGCAGGCTGTGCTTAAGTAAATAGTAAAACAGAGTCATAGAGTAATACAGCATGGAAATAGGCCCTTTGGCCCAAACTGCTATGTTGATCATGGTGCCCACTCAGCTAGTTCCAATTGCCTGCATTTGGGCAATATCCCTCTAAACCCTTCTGATCTATGTACCTATCCAAATATTTTTTAAATGTTGCTTTTGTACCTGCCTCAACCACTTTCTCTGGCAGCCTATTCCATTTATGCACCACTCTGTGTGTGAAGAAGTTGCCCCACAGATCCTTCTTAAATCACCCTTTCACCTTAAACCTATGCCTCTAGTTTTCAATTCCCCATCCCTGGGAAAAAGACAATATGCATTCATCCTATCTATGCCCCTCATGATTTTATACACCACAATAAGGTCACCCCTCATTCTCCTACGTTCTAAGGAATCAAGTCCTATCCTGGCCAACTCTTCCTATAACTCAGGCCCACTAGTCCTGGCAACATCCTCATAAATCTTCTTTGCACACTTTCCAGTTTAACGAGATCTTTCCTATAATAGGGTGATCAAAACTGTGCATGATGCTCCAAGTGCGGCCTCACCAACAACTTATACAACTGTAACAAAATGTCCCAACTCCTACACTCAATGCCTCGACCGATGAAGGCCAGCATGCTAAATGCCTTCTTTACCACTGTATCCACTTGTGATTATGCTTTGAACAAAGTATGTACTTCTACTCTTAGGTCCCTCTGTTCAACAACACTCCTCAGGACCTTAACCATTTACTGTGTAAGTCCTAACTTTGTTGGCTTTCCAAAGTGCAACATCTCACACTTATCCTCATTGAATTGCTTTTGCCAATCCTCAGCCCACTTCCTCATCTGATCAAGATCCCTCTGTAATTTTTGATAACCTTCTTCGCTATCAATGATACCTCCGAATTTTTTATCATCAGAAAACTTACTAATCATGCCTCATACATTCACATGCAGATCATTTATGCAAATAACAAATAACAAAGGTCCCAGCACCGACCCCCGTGGCACACCACTAGTCACAGGACTCCAGTCTGAGAAACAACCTTCAACCATCATCCTTTGCTTCCTACCATCGAGCCAATTTTGCATTCAATTAATTAGATCTCCTTGGATCCCATGCAACCTAACTTTCATGACTAGCCTGCCATGCAGGATCTTATCAAAGGCCTTACTAAAGTCCATATAGACAACATCCATTGCACAACCTTCATCAATCCTTTTGGTTACCATTTTGAAAAACTCTAAAAGATTTTGTCAGACATGACTTGCCACGTGCAAATCCATGCTGACTATCCCTAAATCAGACTTTGACTATCCAAATATTGGTTTATCCTGTCCCTCAGTATCGTCTCCAATAACTTGTCGACCAATGATGTCAGGCTCACTGGTCTGTAGTTCCCTGGCTTGTCTTTGCTACCTTTCTTAAACAATGGAACATTAGACACCTTCCAGTCTTCCGAAACTTCACCAGTGGCTAAAGATGAAGCAAAAATTTTTGCAAGGGCCTCTGCAATTTCTTCCCTGTTCTCCCACAACATCCGAGGATGGACTTGATCAGGCCCAGAGAATTTATCCACCTTAATGGGCTTTAAGGCTGCAACACCTCCTCTCTGGCAATGTGTATGTGATCCAAAACATTCCCACTTGTTTCCCTTATTTCCTTAGCATTCATGATTCTCTCCTCAGTAAACACTGAGGATAAATATCCATTAAAAATCTCCCCCATCTCCTGTGGCTCCACACTTAGATGGCCATATTGATCTTTAAGGGGACTTGTTCTCTCCCTAGCCACCCTTTTACTCTTAATATAGGTTTAGAACCTCTTCGGATTATCTTTAACCTTATCTGCTATATCCATCTTATACCCTCTTTTAGCTTTTCTGATTTCCCTCTTAGGTGTGCTGCTACACATTTTAGAGTCATCTAGGGATCCACTTGAGTCCAATAGCTTAAACCCAATGTACGCTTTCTCCTTTTGCCTGATCAGAACGTCAATACCCCTCATCAGCCAGGAATCCCTAGACCTGCCAAATTTTCCCTTCACTCTAACAGGGCCATATTGTCCCTGGACTTTTGATATCACTCTTTTAAAAGCCTTCCATTTGCCAGTCATTCCTTTTCCTTCAAACAGACTCACCTAATCAACATCTGTTAGATCCTGGCTAATGGCCCCAAAATTGGCCCTGCTCCAGTTCAGCACCTTAACCTTTGGACCTGTCCTATCTTTTCCATAACTATGTTAAAACTGAAAGAGTTATGGTCACCGGACAAGAAATGCTCTCTGACTGACACTTCAGTCACTTGCCCGATCTTGTTTCCTAAGAGGAGGTCCAATGTTGCACTCTCCTAATATTGATTTAGGAAATTTTTTTGGACAGATTTGACAAATTCCACCCCATCCAGGCCTTTTACACTCTGGGTGGCCCAGTCAATACAGGGGCAATTGAAATCTCCAACCAATACTATTCTATTATTCCTACAGTTATCTGGAATCTCTCAAACATCTGCTCCTCTAATAACCACTGGCTATTTGGGGGTCTATGATACAGTCCCAACAGAGTGACCATCCCCTTCTTGTTTCTAAGTTCTAACCACTTTGCCTCATTTGATGACTCTTCAAGAATGACCTCTCTAAGCACTGTTGTTATGTCTTGCCTTATCAAAAGGGCAATCCCCCTCTCCTTACTTACTTGCACTTCTGTAACATATTCTTTAAGCATATTAAAAGTAAAAGATTAGTGAAGGATAGAATGGGGCCCATCAGGAACAAGCAAGGTAAGCTGCACTGAAGGGTATAGGCAGAGGTTCTCCCTACCACTGCTTTCCCCTTAGTTTTTGCAGATGGACAATGAACCAACTGTGGTCAACCTCCTTGGGTGACTTAACAGGTCAGCATTAGACAAGAAATGCCAGACCCCTGCTCGGTCGCTGTCCATTTCCCCAACATTATTAAGCCTACTCCATGACTGGATTGAAAGGAGCCACAGAACTGAGAGTGACCTACTCTCCTCACTGCAGAGAGATAGACCTCCTGACCAAGAACACCCTGAGCAGGTGCCTGACCATGGCCAATTCCCTAGAGTTATTATGGGAAGATGCCCTTGACTTACTGAGCTGTGATCTCCTGACTGACAGTTGCCTCCATGGACTTTCGTGACTAGTTCCCTAAGATTTTGAGAAATGATTGTTACTTGCTGTACATGCAGTGTATTTGCTGCATAAGCTGCTGGCACACAGTGCAGGTGTGAGATTGACGTTGCACACTGCCTGCCTTACAGCCTGATGTACTCTTCCTTGACTGAGGACTCTTGACCAGCAAGACAAGTTGCCTAGCTGTGTGACTGTGGTAGTTGGCACTGCAAGATAAGGTGAAGCATGGATGCTGGGAATGAGCAGGTAGCTGCTAACCATGCAAGTACAAAGGGAGCAAAAGAGCAGCCCTGAGGTGCAGCCTGGTCTAATCTGTGAACTGTGACCCTGTCTGTGCACGGAAAGTGTCCTTGCAGCTTCCTTTCAGGCTTGTTGTTGGTGTGCCCCGCAATGTAAGTCTGTACTTCTAGAGCACCCTGTCATTTCTTTGGAGAGATGCCATGATGGCATGAGGGGCTGGTACGCATGAGTCATGACCTGTGATGCATTTTGGTTGAACAGCGCATGGACATCCTTTGGAGTAGGCAGTGAACTGAATCTGCCAGGTACTTAGACTGGTTTCAATGTCAAGTTTTCTCAATGTTTAGTTTGTTTGATGAGTTTGGTTATAGGAAGCTGAATATTAATGAGGTGAGTTGAGCCATCAATAAGGCGTTCAACAAATCTATAATTCCCCTCATCTGGCAACTCTCAGCTTCCTAGTGAGAAACTCACATTAAAAACATAAAAGATTGACTGTGTTGTAAGAGCAGAAATGTATTGCTGAGGCTGTATAAGGCACTAGTCAGATGACATTTGGAATATTGTGAATAGTTTTGGGCCCCATATCTAAGGAAGGATGTACTGACTTGGATGGGGTTCAGAGCAGGTTCACAAGGAAGATCCTGGGGATTGAAGGGCTTGTCATATGAGGAGTGTTTGAGGACCCTGGGTCTGTACTTGATGGAGTTTAGAAGGTTGATGGAGGTATCTGATTGAAACTTACATAATACTGAGAGTTTGGATAGACTGGATGTTTCCACTAGGAAGAGAGACTTGGAACCACGGGCACAGCCTCAGAGTCAAAAGACGACATTTT